TGGTTCATGCATATATTCCCAGGCCCACCCCAGCCTTCTTGAATCAGAACTGCTGAGGAATCAGCATTATCAATAAACACTCTAGTTTAGTCCTGGTTTGGAGTCTGAGAGCCATACTGCCAGGGTCAAATTCCAGCACCACCATTTACTAGCCCTTCAGCAAGTCCCTTAATTTCACTGAGCCTCAGTTTCCTGGTCTGTAAAATGGGGATAATAATGGTGCCTACCTCGTGGGGCTGCTGTGGGAGTAAAATGAGATCATGAAAGCAAAGTGCCCGGCACAGTGCCGGCGTGGGGTCAACAAATATGGACTCTTAGTCGCACAGCCACGTTCTCATGTCCGGGACTTCTGAATGAGGGGCAGAGCCTTGAGGTTTTCCTGTGGGGAGGGGCCCTGGGGGAGGTCCTCCGGGCAAGCAAGAAACCTTGGTAGAGCAGGGCCCTCACCCAAGACACCTGCCACCTAGCGGCTGGTGTATGGGACCGTGCCCAGCTCTGTCTCCACTCTGCAGAGGCCAGGGGCACCACTTGCCCTAGCTTCCCCCCTGCCTCGCCACCGCCTGGCAGCCCCCCTCCCTGCCTGCTGCCTGGGGAGCCTAGCTGGCTTGGCGTCAGCCCTGGCACTCCCTCTAGCTTTGTAATAAAATAGCCTGTTTGGGTCAGCTTTCCTTGGCAGGGAGGCCACCTGGCACAGAGGGCAGGACGGAGGCGGGAAAGCCTGGGGAAACAGATCCTTCAGTGACCACCGATTATAGTCTGGTGTTCTCACTGGTTCCTCAAACCAGGTGACCCCTGAGAAAGAACCCTTCTTGTCTTCCTGCTTTTCCTAGAGTTTCATCATTCATTTATCCATGCATTCACTCATTCAATAGCAAAATGTCTAATGCGTGTCAGGCACTGAGGCTTGACGATGATCACCAGGATTGGCAAACTTTTTCTGTAAAAGGCCAGATAGCAAATATTTTCAGCTTTTCGGGTCACACTCGTCTGCTCTTGTAGCAAGACAGTAGCTGTAGATAGTATGCAGACAAATGGGTAGATGTGGCTATGTTCCAGTAACACTTAATTTGCGGACACTGGAATTTGAATTTCATATCATTTTCATGTGTCATAAAATATTCTTCTTTTGATTTTTTTTCCCCCAACAGTTTGAACGTGTAAAAACGATTTTTAGTTCACAGGCTGGATAAAACAGGCAACAGCCAGCAGATAGCCGTTCACCATCATGAGCTTAGCCCTCCACACAAAAACCGTGGGGTATGCCATGCCCTGTTGGTGCCAATGCTGTTAGGAGAGGAAAGGCCTTTGGAGAGGGTCAGCACGGAGGTGAGGGAAGCCTCCAAGCCCACTGCCGCTCAACCACTGCAGCCCTCCCAGAGTCCATCCCTTCAATGCCACATAAGTTCCTTGTGGTTTAGATATGCAGACTCTTAGGTCTCCTTTGGGACTTGCAGCCTTTTTTTTTTTTTTTTCAAGTTTATTCATTTATTTTTGAGAGACAGAAAGCACAAGTGGGGGAGGGGCAGAGAGAAAGAGGAAGACACAGAACCTGAAGCAGAGTCTCTGAGGCAGGCTCCAGGCTCTGAGCTGTCAGCACAGAGCCCAACGCAGGGCCCGAACTCACAAACCATGAGATCATGACCTGAGCTGAAGTCAGATGCTCAACCGACTGAGACACCCAGGTGCCCCTGAGACCAGAAGTTTTTGAGGGCAGGAACATCTTCAAGCATTCAGTCAGAAAGCATCTGGGTTCAAATAGCAGCTTGACTGCTCCCTAGCTGAATGACCTCGGGTGTGTCACTAACGTCTCTGTGCTCCATTGTCCTCCATTGTAATACCCACCCCATGAGTTGTTGAGGGGATAAAGGAGTTGAAACACTCATGTACAGTGCACACGCGAGTGCCTGACATGGAGCCAGTGGTCAAAAGGAGTTGAAACACGCATGTACAGTGCACATGCAAGTGCCTGACATGGAGCCAGTGGTCAGTGCTCATTGACACTGAGCACAGTCCTTTCCCCCACCCACCCCAGCACCCAGTATGGCTCTGGGCACAAAGTGTGTGCTCATTCTCTCCTCACTAAGTCCTAACTTCCAGAATGAGAGAAAAGGCCCCCAACTCCATGCCCAGGATCCCCTCGGGGTCTGTATCCTGGACTCCCATGAGGCTTTGCCCTCCGGACTTCACTTGGAGCATTTCCCTTTTGGCTTCTTTGCCCCCAGCGAAATGATCTCCTTGTCCCTCCTAGACCAGCCCAGCAGGTTGCCCAGGGTTAGGAGTATGTGGACATGAAGAGCTCTTGGTTGGTTCTGCTTCAGGGATGAGCTATGGAGGAGGTGGCTGCTTGGCTGGGAATAAAAGGAGTGGGAGCCTACCTTGCCTGCCAGCCCAAGCTCCATGGCGGTGGACAGCCTGCCCAGGTCAAGCCCTTGGGCATCTCAGCCATTGGGCCAGATACCCCAGCCTCCTAGCATTTTTTTCCCTCCTCTCTAGGTACACTCCTCTCCCACATGTTGATTTACTCTGCCTTCCGGAACAGCATCCTCTCTCCCCCTCCAAAAACCTCTATTACCTTATTTATTTCATTTTTTTCATAGCACTTATCACTATGTGAAATTTTATTTTTATTTATGTTTTTAAATGTCTATTTATTTTGAGAGAAAGAGACTGCAAGCAGGGGAGCAACATAGAGAGAGGAGAGAATCCCAAGCAGGCTCTGCACTGAGCCCCATGTAGGGCCCAAACTCACAAACCTTGAGATCATGACCTGAGCCGAAGTCAAGAGTCAGACGCTCAACCAACTAAGCCACTCAGGCACCCTGAAATTTTATTATTAGGATTTTTTCGGTATCCCTTCCACTAGAATTTAAGTTCCTTAAGGGCTAGACTTTTGTCTGTTTTGTGATTACCTTCGCAGAACAGATGGATAGATAATCTCTCTTATTTAATAGGTGAGCATACTGGGGCACCTGGGTGGCTCAGTTGGTTAAGGGTCTGACTTTAGCTCAGGTCATGACCTCACAGTTCATGAGTTCAAGCCCCGTGTCAGTCTCTGTGCTGACAGCTCAGAGCCTGGAGCCTGCTTTGGATTCCGTGTCTCCCTCTCTCTGCCCCTCCCCTGCTCATTCTCTGTCTGTCTCTCTCTGTGTCTGTCTCTCTCTCAAAAGTAAATAAACATTAGAAATTTAAAAAAATTGGTGAGCATACTGAAGTCACCAGGTTAGTGAGCAGCAGAATGAAGATTTATCGCTTCTCGGCCTTTTGGCTAAGATCAAGTGCAGAATGAAGATTCAGGGCCAGATCTGTCTCATAGTCAAATACATTCTGAACCTCTACCATAAGACAGAACTTGATGAACCTGGCAAGATGGAGTGGGGGAGGAGAAGGCATAGGCCTTGAGTCCCATAGTCTGCTTCCAGCAGCAATAGTAGCTATAACAGGGCAGGAGGCATTTATGGAACTCCTAGGAGCCTTCTCCAGCACTGCTGCAGGAGGCAAAGTCAGGTGGGCTTCACTCTTGCCTTCTTGAATTCAGCTCATGGGCTGTTTAGACAGAGACACACGTTCTAGCCTCTTCACTGCAAAGCAGACTGCGCTAGAAGCTATAAAGTTCACAAAGTGCTTTCCAGGTGCTGTCATAGTCTGCTTAGACTGCTATCACAAAATAACATGGACTAGGTGGCTTAAACAACAGGAATTTATTTATTGCAGTTCTGGAGGCTGGAAAGTCCAGGATAAAGTGCTGGCTGGTTTGTAGATGGCTGCCTTCTTGCTGTATCCTCACATGGCAGAGAGACAGCATTCCTATTCCTCTCTCTCTTGTCTCTTCTTAAAAGGGCACTAACCCTATTCATGAGGGTACCCCACTCATGACCTAATTACCTCCCAAACGCCCCACCTCCAAATACCATCACGTTGGGAATTAGGGCTTAAACAGATGAATTTGGGGAGGGCAACAACATCCAGTCCACAGCAGGTGCTGACTGTATTACTCGGGAAATCCTGGACAATGGGGTCTTGGAGAGTGGTTGCAGGGGGAATGCCATCAGAGAAGGTGCCTTGGGCAGAGGGCAACAGGAATAAAGGCCAATGAGAGAGGGCCTGTTTGAGGAATGGTAAGGGCTCCGATGGCTAGGCCTGGAGAGTGCTGGGGAATGGCGGTGATGGTCTGAAAGGTGGTTCAGAAGGTAGGCTGGGGTCAAATCACGGAAAGCCTAAAAGAGACTGGGAAAGTGCCCTCCCTAGGGATGCACAGTAGATAATAAGAACAAGGACAGAGCAGCTGATGCTGTATGTTGGGTGCTTTACGTTTTACAAAGCAATTCCCAGCCATTCCTCTGCTCTGTCCTCACAGCTGGAACATGCGAGCAAACGCTGCAAGTTTAGGATCAGGAGCCCAGGGTCCGCTCCACTCAGGCAAAAGTTGTGCAGTCTTGAACAAGTCGTCTTACATCTCCACTGTCTCCCCTTACTCCTCTGACAACAGGACCCAATTCTCAGAAGTTTAGGAAGGATTACACAAGAGCACACACGTGAAAAAATGCTGTACTTAACTTCGGATCCTCAGTCCTTTCTTTGTAAAACAGGGACAATTCCTGTCCTGTCTCATTTAGGGGGCTGTGTCGCAACTTTGTAATCAAGGCCAAAAGGGAAGAATCTTATTAACAAGGCCGGAGAAATCAGTGTTTCTTGGTTAGCAGGCTGAGAGCCTCAGGGAAGAGGCTTTGGGCTACTTTAACAGCTTCTCCTAACTTATTTGGGACGGGGAGGGATAGGCACAGAAAACTCCTAAGCTCACACGAAAGGGAAAAGAGATGCGGCGCAGGAACACTGACGTCACTCAAGCCGCTCACTTAAAGGGCCAGAACGTTTCTTGCTTCGTCCCCGCCGCCCCCAAATCACCAATCAGAGAGCGAGCCGCCCCATGACGCTATCTCCCCGCGACTAGGCCGGCTGGCGGCGGCGGCGTTTCCTGGTGACCGAGGCGGGGCGCAGAGGAGATGGGCAGCCGAGAGGTGCTGGGCCAGGCGGCCCGGCTGGCCTCCTCCGGTCTGCTCCTGCAGGTATTCTGCCCCGCCGGCCGCAGACCAACCCGCAGTCCGGAGGCGGGGGGAGGCGGTCCTGGGGCCCTTGAGAGCGCGCTTCGGGGCACGCCCAGTCCCGGCGTGGACCCCCACTACTGAGGGTTCAACAGGAGATGGTGGCGGCGGAGAACCGGCACCTGGGCAGGAGTTCAGAGGCCTGGCTGGGAGACTACAAACAAGTCGTTTTCCTTCTGAGCGTTATATTTCCCATATGGTAGTAGGACAGGGTTAGGTCAGGTGGCAGGGGCGCCTTTGGTGCTCTAGAATTGGATATTTTTAAGGCAAGGAGTTCACTCTCTCCTTCCCCCACCGCTGACCCTCAAACATCTTCAAGCTTTCTGACTCTGACTGAGTTCATAGAGACAGTATGGCATAGCTAAGAAAAAGATACCTGGGCTTAGACAGCCCTAGATTGGAAACCTGGTTCTACTACGTGCTTTCTGCATGAACCAAGACAAAGGATTTCTTTTGCTAAGCCTCAGCTCCTCATCGGGAAAATTGGGGTAATAATAGTACCTAGCTCATAAAGTTTCTATGAGGCTTGACTGAAGTCATTCAGATAATTGTATTTAATGCTGTACCTGGCTCTTGGTGGGCACTTAGTAAATGTTAGCTGCATTTTCCTTCTGGCTATGTGACCTTAGATAAGTCACTTCCCCTTCCTGGCCCTAATTTTCATCATCTGTCATTTAAGGTACATACCAGTTGGTCCAAATGGTGTCTAAAGATTCTTTTAACACTAGGAGTTAGTCATTCTAAGTGGCTCAGTTCAGCCTTTATTCAGAAGAGTCCTGAATCCACCCTTCCCCTATATTTTAGAGGCAGCATTTCACTTGGATATTAAGAGAGAGAACCAGGCACATGTGAGCTCAGGTTTGGTCCTTGTCACTTGGTAGTTCCCTGCCCTTGTGAAAATCGCTTTACTTTGAATATCAGTTTCCTCATCTTAAATGAGAACATTAGTGCAACCTCATGGGGTCATTAGCAAGATTAGATGACATGCCTGTTAAGTGCCTGGCGCATTATAAGTACTTAGTGAATGTTAGGTATTTTTATTATAGTAATAAGGATTTTCTTAAATGGTCATTATAGGAATGGAATGAAACAATTTACATAAAGCATGTAGAAGAGTTCCTTGCACAAGTCATGTACTTAATAAACATTCACCTAACCCTAAATTAACTAAACCTTGAATGTACCAAGTTTTTTCTTCTATCCACGACATAAAAAACTGAGTCCATTGCTTTATCTGCAGTGCTGATTGTTCAGGCTTTGATGATACCTTACGGCCCAGATTGGCTTCATAAAAAGAAAACAAGTCTTGGGGCGCCTTGGTTGCTCAGTCAGTTAAGTGTCCAACTCTTGATAGTGACTCAGGTCGTGATCTCGAGGTTGTGAGGTCGAGCCCCGTGTCGGGCTTTATGCTGACAGCATGAAGCCTGCTTGGGATTCTCGCTCTCTGCCCCTTCCCTGCTCGTGCACATACACACTTTCTCTCAAAATCAATAAACATTAAAAAAGAAGGAAGGAAGGAAAACCAGTCTTTTTTTTTTTTTTTTTTGGGACAGAGAGAGAGACAGAGCCACGAAGGGGCAGAGAGGGAGGACACAGAATCGGAATGAGGTGGCTCCAGGCTCTGAGCCATCAGCCTCCAGAGCCTGACGCGGGCTGAACTCACGGATCATGCAGATCGTGACCTGGCTGAAGTCAGGCGCTTAACCGACTGCGCCACCCAGGCGCCCCGGAAGGAAAACCAGTCTTAGCAGAAAACACAATGGACTGGGAGTCAGGTGGCCTACCATAAAGTCAAGCTGGGTCATATGATTATTATGTGACATTGGGCAAATCACTTTGCTCTGAGTCTTAACTTGCTTCCTGTGCATTTATCCAATTGCTTTTAAGGGTCAAATAATTAACAGATGTGAAAGAGCTTTTTTAAAACTGTAAAGTCCGTTACAAAGTTAAATGAAGACTGTGTTGCTACTAAGGGCCACTTACATGGAGCAAATACTGGGTCGCATGAACAACATTAGAGCTTCATTAACTCGGCCCTTTCTTCAAACCAGTTAGGTTTAGACCATGGTAACTTTGACATTAAATTTGACACTAACTGTATGTACGTCATTTTTTTAAAAACAGCCATAATCTAGGCTTCCTGAGTGTTTTAATCTGGTCTTGGATGTATTCTCAAATTACAATGCAGACACTTGAGGTAGCTTTGCAATTACATTGTATCCTGAAAGAATTTGAGCTGGCCATAGTGAAAGTGTTAATTCCTTTCATTTTTTAAAACATTTATTTATTTTGTAAGGGAGAGAGCTCATGAGCGGGCAAGGGGTGAGGAGAGAAGGACAGAGAGAATCCCAAGCAGGCTCCACACTGTCAGCGGGGAGCCCCAGGCAGTGCTCAACCCCATGAACCCGTGAGATCATGACCTGAGCCAAAATCAAGAGAGGCTTAACTGACTGAGCCACCCAGCGGCCCCCATGCCTTTCACTTTCATTGTCAAAAATGCTTTCACCTCTAAGGTCTTATTTGATGGTTGTTATCAACCCTGTAAGATAGGTAACCTCATTTGACAGGAGGAAATTAAAGCTTATAAGAGTTAGGAGACGAAGGGCTTAACAGCTAAATGGTGATTTGAGACTCTCAGCTGAGTGGTTTTTCCATTCAGGGCTCCATGAATTGGCTTCAAATGTCTAAATTTGAGTAAAAAATTTGGTAAGTAGGTATGTATCTGCATGTTTCCAAGAACTACAGAGGTTTCATCAGACTCTCAAAAGGCCGCCTTTGACTCCATATTGTGATATCTTGGCTTTGGAGACCTTGCTGCTCTGTGACACTTCAGGGACAGTGTTAAACTGTGCTCTCCCTTTTTGGTCATACCTTTCCCTGGAGATTTTTAGACTGTTGTGGTCCACTGGCATATTTTGATTGAGTCTTTCAAATTGCACCTGTTCACAGATAACTATGAGAGTGATTTGTCATTTGCTCTGGAGCACACTGTGGAGTACACCTGTCATGCTTCCTGGATGCAGACGGGGGCTGAGGTTTGCACCCCGCTCAACATCCCCCTTTAGCATCCCCACTTAGCACCCTGTTGTTCTCTGTCTCATGGAAGAATTCTTTGCTCAGGTTTGAATTGACAGGTTTGAAGTCTTGGGATATATCCCTTTCAAATGGTAATAGCTGGAAAGAGATTGAATGTCATTATCAGAATCCCCAGATATTGCTAGGCAGAGAAGAGAGATTAGACCCTGTGATTCCTAGAGATTCTGCCATTCCCTGCAGGCTCCCACTTGCTAAGTGTGTGCTATTTCTCAACAAGCTGGAGGGAGGGCCAACATGAAGCACTGACTAGAATTCTGTCTCCTGAAGTGCCTGACTTTGAGCCCAAAGGAATTCACTGACTTGTCAGGCCCTCCCTCTTATCAGTAAATTAGAGAGATTTCCAAGTGCCTTTGTGCACTGTTCTACCATTGCACAGGAGTGCCAGGGGACCCCTCCAGGAATGAAATTTCAGCAGAAACAGACAGGTGGTAGGTCTTCAGGAGGGTCTCTATGGCAGAGCTGCCGTACATCAGTGTGTTATTAGAAAGAGCAGCCACATTGTTTTCATTTCAACAAAATAAATATTCCCAACATAATTTATTCTCATGTATTTTTCTTCTTTCTCTGTAGGTGTTGTTTCGATTGATCACCTTTGTCTTGAATGCATTTATTCTTCGCTTCCTGTCAAAGGAAATCGTTGGCATAGTGAACGTGAGGTAAGAAGGGAGTACCCTGGCCTTGCCCACAGCTCACGTCCCCAGTCAGGGCACCTGTGTGTCACCCTCAGATTTTGGAAACAGGGGCCTTTACTGGAAGTGGAGTGTTCTAGCAGTGGGCTGAGGAAGAGCACGCTGGGATGGGGGAATGAGCAGGCAATGCTACTTTTAATGGACCCATGGAGTGTTTTCCATTAGCAGCCTCCAAATGCACATTTCTCTGCCAGCTGTTCCGGTTTGTCTGCTCTTAGAACCCAGGAAAGGAGTGGGAGTAATTCACTGCAAACCCTGTCTCAGGTATAATCCTGTGTTCTTGTCCTGCTGACAGCACAGGAAGCAGGAATCCCGCGGCTGGTGAGGATGTGCTTCGTAATTGCAAGGCTAGAGCAGCCTGCCTTCCCTCCTCGGTGACTTTTATAATTGGAAAATGGTGGTTAGGGTGACAGTGTGCATCCTTGTCATGAGTCCCTTGGCAGCTCTTAGAAAGCTGCTTGCTTTGTCTTTTAGACTCCATTTGTTCCTTCTACTCTCTTTTCTGTTCAAGGGCACCCACGCATATTCTGTATTCACAAATGACACAAAAGTCTATGAAGTGATGTGAATGCTCAGGTTAGCTCAGCTTCTCAGGTGATATCTTCATGTCCTCATAAACAAGACCATATGTTCCAGACAGCATTTTACATCGAATACCCACCAAACGTATGCTCTGGGCTCCGTTTTCAGAGCTTAGAGAAGGTTCTCAAACTTTGAAGGGCAAAGGAATCATCTGGGGGAGTTTTGCACTAGGTGGGGCTGAGAAGAGGTCCGGAAATCAGGATTTTGACAAGTTCCTTATGTGATTTTGAAGCAGGGATCGTATTTTGAGAAATACTGTTTTAAAAGTGGGAAGGGGGGCACCTGACTGGCTCAGTGGGTCAAGTGTGTGACTCTGTGATCTCAGGGTTGTAAATTTAAGTCCCATATTGGGTGTAGAGATTACTTAAAAATAAAATCCTAGGGGCACCTGGGTGGCTTAGTTGGTTGAGCATCTGACTTCAGCTTGGGTCATGACCTCATGGTTCGTGGATTCGAGCCCCACATCAGGCTCACTCACTGCTGTCAGCACGGAGCCTGCTTTCTCTGTCCCCCCCACCCTTTCTCGGCCCCTCACCCAGTGGTTCTGTCTCTCTTTCAAAATAAATAAGCTTAAAAAAAATCTTAAAAAAATAAATAAATAAAGCAAGCAAGCAGGAAGGAAGAAGACCAAATCTCTTAGGTGTTCAGATTTGAAAGCAGTTTGGGCCTCTTGCCATCTGGTCTTCCCCAGATTCTCAGGTCTCTGCTTTGACAACCTTTATCTGGCCGGCCCTCTGCTTAACATACAGTTCAGTCTCCTCCTTCCCGATGTTGGACAGAAGCACTGGATAGCAGCATGATCCTTGGACATCCTCAGAGAGACCTTAGCCCAGCTAAGGTCTGTCTCTACGGCTGTCTCCATTCTGACTTCATCACACATGGCCTGTTGATGAGGGAAAATCTCAGCTCTTACTCATGCAGGTGCAAGAGGGTCCACCTAAATATTGGCCACCCGGGAAAGATGGCAGACAAGCCTTGCTGATCTGGGCTGCAGCGGCCTCTGTAACGGCCACCAGCCTATTGCCTATTGCCTATTGCCTATTGCCTGTCCTGAGATGCTTTTGGCCAGAGCTGCCACTCAGAGCCTCAGCTTCTCTCATAAGAGCTCTCATTGGTCACCAGTCTCAGGGTGACCAAGAGGTCCCCTTGCTGTGTGTGGTCATATCTTGTCCTTTTCTCCTATTGTCAGAGCCATACCTCTGCCTATAGCCATGAGGCCTTAGGCTTTGGGGGCCACTGTGGCACTTTCTATCCCGGATATAATGCTCTATAGGCACACACTCAGGTGTCCTTTGTTTGGTTCCTAACTCTGTTGTTCAAATGGATCAGACTAGTACGGGGACCCTGTAAAAACTCACTGCCCTTCACATCACCACCAGTGATTTATGACCAAGACTTTCTTTCTGTCGCTGGCAAAATCTCAGACATTCTCTCTATGAAAAAAGATTAGAGTCACTATTGATTATTTTTTGTTAATGTTTGTTTATTTTTGAGAGAGCGCGCAAGAGCGAGCGGGGGAGGGGCAGAGTGAGTGGGGGGCGGGGGGACTGAGAAGCCTAAGCAGGCTCCAGGCTCTGAGCTGTCAGCACAGAGCCCAATTCAGGGCTCAAACACACAACCCACGAAATCATAACCCAAGCTGAAGTCGGAAGGTTAACCTACTGAGCCACCCAGGCACCCCCATTATTGATTTCTGCTTTTCCTTTAAAGGCTAACACTGCTTTACTCGACCACCGTCTTCCTGGCCAGAGAGGCCTTCCGTAGAGCATGTCTGAGTGGGGGTGCCCAGCGAGACTGGAACCAGACCTTCAACCTCTTGTGGCTAACGTGAGTTGTGCTTTGGCAGGAGACCGTGCAAAAGCAAGCGTCGTAAGTGTTGTAAGTTAAACAGCAACACTTGCCCAAAGCTGAATTGTCTCCAGTCTGGGTTTCTGGGGCCTGGGCATGGGACAGGAAGGAGAAGGCATCCAACATCTTGGCTGTTTCCTCCCTGGATGGCCAGGAGCCAGGAGGAGGCTGTGGGTGGGGGCTTCAGGGCCAGGTTTCTACCCTCTTGGGAGGTTGTTTCTGCCATTCCTGATGCCCACTCTGGGCCCCAGTGGGCCTGTGCCGTCTTCTTTAGTCCTAATCTTTCCCCCTCCCTGTGGTCTTTTCTGAGCTTTTAACAACCACTTAGCATTCTTTGAAAGCCTTTTAGGGCTTTCATTATATCTTTCTTCAATTTTGTAATGTGGATTTCAATTCTCAGCCCTTGAGAATATTCTTGAAGATCAAGTACATCAGCTAAAACTTGTAATGGCCTTTCTGCAGTTAGATTCCTGCAGGGAGGGCTGGCACTTGAGGTTTTTTCTCAGTGCTGCCTTCCGTAACTCCTTGCCTCATGGAAATGACTGTCACGAGGCTGGTAGGTGTTCATTTTATTAGAGGATGACTGTTGGCTACCCAGTCATATTTAAGTGCTCTGTGGTGCACATGCTAGGGGACACTGTGCACTGGACTGTTGCTTATTTGGGTGCAAGAACTGACTGTATACTATATTTTAGTCATTTGTGTGCAAACAACAGGCACATACTTGCCAGGAGTTTTGTTTATCTTGTCAGTGTCACACTGTGGATAGGAGCGTAGACTTACGAGTTAGATGGGGACTGGGTCCTGCTTCTGCCCTTGGCTAATTGTTCATGACCTTGGCCAAATTCCCCAGTGCTTGTCAGCCTTAGTTTCCCCATCATTTCAATGGGGTAATAGCAGGATCATTGTGAGGGGTCTGTGTAAAAGGGGTAGATCTGAGTGCCTGGCATGTAGTAAGTGCCTTAATAAGTGGTAGCTATTTTTAAAATTCTATTTCTTTTCTGTTTAATGTTACTATTTTAATATATATATTTTTTATTTTTAGCATATTAAAAAAACATTTTTTTTTCTTTTTCTAGGGTCCCCCTGGGTATGTTTTGGTCCTTGCTCCTGGGCTGGGTGTGGTTACAGTTGCTGGAAGTGCCTGATCCTAATGCCGTCCCCCACTATGGAAGTGGAGTGGTGTTGTTCGGTCTTTCGGCTGTGGTGGAGCTTCTGGGAGAGCCCTTCTGGGTCTTGGCACAAGCACAGATGTTTGTCAAGCTCAAGGTCAGCATGCCTTCTGCTCTGATGGGAAATTCGAAGAAGGGAAAGAGTGGTTTCTTAAAAAGATTTTCTAGGGGCACCTGGGTGGCTCAGTCGGTTAAGCGTCCGACTTCAGCTCAGGTCACGATCTCGCTGTCTGTGAGTTCGAGCCCCGTGTCGGGCTGATGGCTCAGAGCCTGGAGCCTGCTTCCAGTTCTGTGTCTCCCTCTCTCTCTGCCCCTCCCCCGTTCATGCTCTGTCTCTCTCTGTCTCAAAAATAAATAAACGGTAAAAAATAAAAAAAAATAAAGATTTTCTAGGAGTGATGATTTTTTTTCAGATTTGCATTTAAAAAGAAATTTGGAAAAAGGTAACATGATCAGTTAATTCATTCCCTTGAAATTTGGCAGATGGGCTGGGCTTAAGTTTACATCTGCTATACTATTAATGCAAAAACAGGTTTGCTAATAGGGAAGTTATTAGCTTAGATAAGAATTTAAGAGGACTGTGAAGGTTTTTCAGATTTTCCTAGTGATTCTATTTTTAATTGTGTGCTAATATTAATTTTTCGTGTTTTAAAATCTGTTGTTTAATATGTACAAAAGAATATATGCTGTATGTGTAAATCTTTTTTTTTTAAGTTTATTTATTTATTTTTGAGAGAATAGGGACAGTTGAGTTGGGGAGGGACAGCGAGAGGGAGAGAGAGAGAATCCCAAGCAAAGAGCCTATGCGGGGCTTGAACTCACAAACCGTGAGATCATGACCTGAGCTGAAATCAAGAGTCAGACACTTAACCAACTGAGCCACCCAGGCACCCTGCTGTATGTGTAAATCTTAAAGCATGATAATACTGAAAATCTATGAACTTACCAACCAGCCCAACTAGAACATTGTCATGCTATGTCTAACCACATGCCCCACCCCCATTGCCGGGGTAACCACTATCCCAGGTTTCTATTTGTCATTCCTGTGCATCTTTAGTTTTTAATAACGTAAAGTGCACCCTTTACTACATATTTGCAGGTGATTGCTGAGAGCCTGTCGGTCATCCTCAAGAGTGTCCTGACAGCTTTTCTTGTGCTATGGTCACCTCACTGGGGGCTATACATTTTCTCTTTGGCCCAGGTAAGGGTTATGGCTTTTCACTTTTGTATAATCTATGTTTCTCCATTTGATTTTCTTCTTCTTTTTTTTTAAGTTTATTCATTTATTATTTCTGAGAGAGAGAGAAAGAAAGAAAGAGAGAGAGGGAGGGAGGAAGGGTGAGTGAGCACAAGTGGGAGGTGGGCAGAGAGAGAGAGGGAGAGACAGAATCCAAAGCAGGCTCCAGGCTCTGAGCTGTCAGCACAGAGCCTGAGGCGGGGCTTGAACGCTGACCGCGAGATCATGACCTGAGCCAAAGTTGAAAGTTTAACTGATTGAGCTACCCAGGTGCCCCTGATTTTTTTCTTCTTGTTCCCATTACTGTGTGGTTTACATTTGCAGTATTCATGCATGTGAGGCAGGCTGGAAGCTCTAGTAAGATGGTCGTGACAGTTCTTTTCCTTTGGCTGTCCACTCTACACCACGTGCTGATGCTACTGATATCCCCAGGGGCCCGGTGAAGGGCCTCGGCCCTCATTGAGCACTCGGCCTCATTGTCCAACATAACAACTCCTTTAGATGTTCTGTGGGCGAGCCCATACCAAACTCACCTTTGATTGTCTTACTGTCTCATGGAGGAGGGAGAAAAGCAGTGAGGGAGTGGGGTGAGAACCAAATTGCATGTGTGTTTTTTTTCCCCTGGATTTTAATCAGTTCTCAGGATAGGAAGAAACTCTGCCAAGCCTGTTTGAAACTTGCATTGAAATCTCACACAATGCAGAGCACATGAATTGAGTCTTAGCAGGCGCATTCTCACTTTCAGCAGCTCCGGCCTCGTTGCCATCCCAGTTTCTAGTTCTAGTTCATATCTGTAGCTTGAATAAAAGTACGACTAGGGTATAGTGCTCATTTTAAAAACAAAACCTAAGATCAGATAGATATCAGAACATCTTATAGGGCAAAGCAGTTTGTAATATTTCTTAATGTATAGGAAGGTAAATTAAAATTCTTAGTCACAGTTTTAGTGAAAGTCTTTCCTGTGTCCTAAGCGAAAACTGCAAATGTATTTGTGAACACAGTAAAAGTAGATTTAAAAATAATATTATAAGAATGACAATTACCTCCCAAAAGTAGTTTGCAAACAGTTGCATATTTTAGAGAAGTTATTTGTGATTATTTTTGCCATGTTTTATTAGATCTGGGATTACAGTACTCTGCATTCATCATGTTTTTGATATATTCTTCCTAATAGAACAGGAGGCCATGGAGATGCCCAGTTATTGGTTGGCCCTTCTTGGGAAAGGCGCTTGCATTATGACTTTCTGATGGTCCTAGCTCCCACTCAGGATACATCATAGGTCAGCAAGGCCCATTCTAAGTTTATTTGCTTTCTTATTATAAGACTTCAGAGAGCTCTTCTCTGGTACATTCTCTGTCAGTGTCTGTGTGAGAGGCCTGAGGGCCATCAGCACCTCATATCAGCAGGCGATCCCTGCCCAGGGCTCTGGGATTCTCCTTTGTCCAACGCACTTCCAGGTTCCTCCTTAAACAGCTCCTTACCCCATCATATATCAAATACCCCATCTTTAGAATATATAAAGAATTCTTACAACTCAACAACAAAAAGACAGACTACCCTAAAAGTGGGTAAAGGAATGGAATACTACTTGTCAATGAGAAAGAATGAAACATGGCCTTTTGTAGCAACGTGGAGGGAGCTGGAGAGTGTTATGCTAAGTGACATAAGTCACAAAGAAAGACAGATACCATATGTTTTCACTCTTATGTGGATCCTGAGAAACTTAACAGAAGACCATGGGGGAGGGGAAGTGGAAAAAAAAGTTACAGAGAGGGAAGGAGGCAAACCATAAGAGACTCTTAAAAACTGAGAATAAACTGAGGGTTGATGGGAGGTGGGAGGGAGGGGGATGTGGGTGATGGGCATTGAGGAGGGCACCTGTTGGGATCAGCACTGGGTGTTGTATGGGAACCAATTTGACAATAAATTCCATATTAAAAAAATAATAAAATAAATAAATAATAAAAGGGGGTAAAGGACCTGAATAAACATTTTATCAAAGAAGAT